AAAGGAGAAATTAAAGGGTTGGAAACAAAAATGTACATATATGGTGTAGAGGAGCCTCGAGTAGCTTGTGAACCTGTAGTACTCAGCCAATGAGGAAACAGGGGAGGTGATCAGGCATCGGGTAATAGGGAATAAAAGGTTAGGATTTGTTTACTAAAATGTGCTCCTGATTGACAGGACGCCCGCCATTGCAATCGCGAATAAAATAGCTTCACAGAAGATCCTGTCTGAAGAAAATTATTTGAGATGTTTCTCACACAAGTTATTTTAATGCTATGCAAAGATACTTTGTCATTTTTCAGTTAACTAAAATGTTGAGTAGTCAACTAATCCATTATCTTAAAAATATAACTACTGTGAGATTGAAAGCAATTGTATGTTCAAGGTAAAGTAATATCAAAGCAGCTCGACAACTAAAAAGTTCACTTATGTAGATAAAAATCACTGGAGGTTTTGGTAGAAAAAACTGTTGAAAAATTCCAACAGAAAGCTAGCAAACACACACAGGTAAATTGCTGTCCAGAATATCCAATCCTTGTGAAGGTGAATGTCTTGCAAAGACAGTGCAAACAATATCATCTGTATTTGGCTTGGGCAATCACAACATGAAAGCTGACTTGTCTTCCCAGAAGGCTGGAAAGAAGATATACATTCATTCCTTTTCATGAAGAAAGTTCCTTCACTTTTCTACTTTTTTTTTTTTTTTTTTTACTAAAAAAAAAAAACAGCTTTTTTTTTTTTTTTTTTTTTTTTTTCCGTTCCAGATACTGCATTGTAAATAATCTTTCCCTTTTTGTTTTTGAAAAGCCAAACTCTCATTCTGCTTGGAATACTTATCTAGACATTTATTTTAAACTGAAATACTGCGAACCTTGACTTCCACATAAATGCACTTTAAAAAGGTTAAAAAAACAATTAAGTTTTAAAGATAAACAGGAATATCATGCTTTCTTAATACAGAATGTAAATGATTGCATTGCTGAGAAAAGGGAAAATTAAGTCTTCTAACTACCCAATGAACAGGAGTGGAACAAATTTTCTCTCTTCAAATGTATCCTTATAGTAATCTGAAGAGAATACTTCCATGATTGTGTAGAGATTTCTTCAAGACCTATTCAATTCCTTATTGTTCAGCTTACAGTGCCAGAAAAAAGGCCTGTTAAAGTTAACATCTGCTAACTAATCATGAAACAGACCGTCACATTTTATATGGTTTGAACATAGCTATGAATTTTGATTACTACCAACTTTGACTGGATTAAAGAAGTACTTTACTGTGAGACTCTTAAGAACCTACCAAAACTTAACTCACTTATAGGAGATGCTTCTAAAAGTAAAGATTTTTGTACCATGTTCTGAAAATATGAATTTAGAATTACAAGTATATTTAATATTAAAGATGGCAATAAATGAGATTAATGATATTCTTCTGTTTTTTTTCTTGAAATACTTCATTTTTAGAGTGCTAGCCTCCGACAAGTAAAGATTTTGACATGCAAGTATTTTTAGGTAGGCCACTGCACAGTTCTATTCTTCAGGGCTGTACTCCATACATGTTGCTGCTTGACACAGAGGAGGCATACATATATGCTGTATAGTTTTGATATAATTTTTATGTCAAGTTTTCCAGATCATATCCTCTGATGTGATCTCAGTACCTTCAGCTGCTCTGAAGGTGTAATTACTTCTGTTACTCATCTGTGTGTCTGTTTTCTGTGTATAGTACCCTCATGCAGAAGTCAACTGGATTGCAAAGGCCCTCTAGAGAGCCATCAACTTCATATCTTTGCTTTATGAAAAGATTAATTTCTGCTCTGCAATTAACAAATTATAACCTACTGAGCAATTCTTTATTTTTCCAATAACAGTTTAAACTGGGACTACTCTTGCACACACACCTACCGCACATGCACATACAAAGCTGTTTTTTCCTATCTTTCCAACTTTTGAATTCCAAAATACTTCACTTCAAAATGAAAAATCCACAATATTAAAAAAATGATCCCTCATCACAGCAATACAAAACCATTACAAAAACATTTGATACCTCACTGTTGTTCTGCATTTAATTTGAATGAACAGTTCCCTCCCTTCAGCAAAGGTCCTGCTTAAACAGCTATTCCCCTTGCTCCAAAGAACTATGCATTCTAGCAGGAATACTCAGAGGATACTAAACACTATAGTCAGATCATATGAATCAAAAGAAGGACAACCAAAGCATTATGTCAAAGTCTTGTTAATAACTGGAGAGCATAATGAATGTACTTACCAGCAGGGCAGCCATTGATCCACAGTCTATCACAGATGTCACTGGAACAATGAATTATAGTGCCCTATACATTGAATACGTCATTTCTCCACTGCCCCATTTAAACAGAAATACACACAGATTTTAAATTTTGACTACAACACAGCTACATTATAAAGAAGGGATTATTTCAGCAGATTTTCAATAGCAAAGTGGGTGGTCCTCAAGGCTCTTTATATACCCTTCCAACATTTTTGTGAAAAGTTGAATGGGAGACCACACAACTACCAAAGATTATGTGGCACTCTTCTAAAAGGGATGGGGGGGAGAATCAAACATTTCTTGCCCAAGGTTTGTTACTGTGGGATACTATTATGTGAGGTCCTTCAGTTCATATATTACATGGCATTAATTTACACAGCAAGAATGAGTAACTGCTTTGTCACATGCAGAATCATGCATTATTTTTGCTTTTAAAGATTGTGAAGGTGAAAAAGTATACCAAATAATTCCAAAAAGCTTCTGAGATTTAAATCTGGTCTGCATTTGACCCAAGATGCATGCTTCATATAAAATACAAGTTTAGAGATTCCTAAGACTGCAAAGCCAAATATGAAAAGAGCTAAGGTCTGGCCAAATTAAGGTTTCTAGCAACCTTAAGCTTGCACATGTTATCATGCAACCTAGCACAACATCATGATGAACATGTTTATCCAATGGATCCCTTCCTACCCAACACTGTAATCTTGAGATGACCAATTCACAGCCACAGTTTCACTGATGTTAACTAAGAGCAGCCAGTGGTCCCATCAGAAGAGTCAAAGTACAGGCAAGGGTCCAGGTCCAGGAAGTAAAAAGCTCAGTAGTAAATGTCACTTGGTCTATGTGGCACTAAACCTGTTTATCTATCAGACAACAATTCTTTAAATGTTAAAGCAAATAAGGAACCATAAAATAAGGATATTTGGAATCTAAAGAGCTCCTTCTATTAAGACGGATTTCTGATCACAGCAGATGCACAAAATAAAGTGCTACTATAATTCTAAAACTTGTGTGAACTCAGTTTAAATCCTGTTAGTGGCTAAAATTCCAACACTTTGTTTACACCCTCGCATTTATAGATTTAAGCTAGAAGATAAAATCACAGATGAAGCAGTTCTTTGGAAATACACTTCTGTTACTATTTGCTTTGGTCTACTCTTTCCACCACTATTTAAACCACATGATGCTATCTTCAGCAGTTATCCCAACAGCAGCAGCACTGTTGGTAGCTCTAGTGTACAGAAGTGTCAAGCTCCATTGGCATTTTCACAATCTTCTCTGTCTGTTGGAAGACCTGAAGAGCAGTCAGCTAGTTATGCTCCTGAATGCAGGCAACTGGAAATAGGAGTCGAAAACCTTACTGTAACTGGAATTGTATAAAATGAGATACTAAAATCATATGGGCTTTCATCTTGCATCACCGTACATAAACACGCAGTAGGATTCAGCTTTCTCTGAGGAAGGAAAAGGCAGCAGGGGAATAAAACATGCTACCTTTCTCAACAGTTCCTTATCCCTACCTGTAAAGGCATTGTGCTCACTTTCAATCAATTCTGATGATTGCCTACTATTAATGTCACTCATTCTCTTAAGTAATTAAGCCAGCTCTTACTTAGATTTGCCTTTGTCTCTCTCTGGCACATTTCCTTGTCTAATCCTTTTTTTCCAGATGGCATAAGGACGAGAGATAAGTGTTGCTAAAAGTTGCTTAGCAATGCAACACATGCAAGGTTTGGAAATGCTGACGTCCACATAAGCTCTATCTATACATCACACATTTATGCAGAGAAACAAAGGCGTGAACAACCAGAGTGACATAGAGGCCTCCAGAAAAAGAGCTACCAGTTAGTACACAAACAGAGGAGAGCAGAAAATGGAGAAAAAGGTTCCAGTGATGGGCTGTATTATGCTGTGGGTTTGATTGTTAGAAAAAAAAAAAAAAAAAAAACACACACACAAACACACACAAAAATCTACAACAGGAAATTCTGCTTTAAACAAAACAAAAGCCTTTGAGTTTTAGTAAGGCCCTGTATTGTCTGATTCAAAGACATACAACAGACTGGACAAATACACTACAATCCACTGACTGAGACCAAAACAGACAAAGTTCTTGAAAAATAATAAATGATGAAGGCAAAGTTGTTTATTATCAGTTAGGTATCAAACAAATAAATCCTCCCATCTTAAGACTCAATGGTAAGCAATTTATTCCAGTATATGCACAATATAATTGTGGATTGTTTTAGACTCAAAAGAAACATGGAATTTATTTAAACCACATTTAAATATTATGGGCAATAAACAAGAATGTGGTATATCAACAGCAATAGTTTTACAAGGTCATATCATTAACTGATTTCTGTGACAGCCTTCTTGTACACATTAGCTTGACTCATTTTGTGTTAAAAAACAGATATTAGGAATTTCTTCATCATGGTTACAACTTCTAAGAACAACCAGTTCTTAGAAAATGGCTAAACAGTAAATTTTAGAAATTCACTGTCAGCTTCACTTGTGGTAGTCTATTACTAAGCGAGGTTTTCAAACACTAGCTCTAGTAACTAGCTTTGATGGATAGAAATTTCACTATTTTTCAGGAATTAAAAGCACTAATAATGTTAGTTATGCCCAACATTGTATGGCAGGGCAAATTGTTCAAAGACATCTGTTTATGAACAGAGAAAAGGTTTTGGAAATGGATACCTACCGCTTGTTATTTCAGGAAGCAATTTGTACTTTACTGGTGTGACTTCCATTTCTCAGTTAGTGGCTATTACTATGATTAATTTTATTTCAAACTCAATCCACCTGCCTCTAATACTCACCTTCCCCGTTTCTAACAGTATATGATTTCTCTATGATCTAATTTGGGCTTTTATCAACCATTTTCAATATCAGGCTTCAACCATTTATCAATCTTATTTGCACAGTCCTGATCATAAATAACATGTTAGAATTACTTAACAGATTCAAGTAATGACTGGAACATGCTTAGATTTATAAAAAATTACAGGGTACAGCCTCAGCTGATATAGTTTGAAGTGCATATTACAGCAAAATCTAGGTAAACTACAGGAATAAGATTGTGGGTAAGATTGTGAGTTTTTGTTTTTGTTTTTCTTTCTTGCATCACTAGTCTTTATTCTTACATGAATAGTTACATCTAATTACATCTTCCCACTGTCTTGTCACATCTTATTACCAGGCATCAGAACTACATATTGGCTAAAGATCATTCGAAAAACACTCAAAAACAAGTGCACAGATTATGCATTCAGAAGCATGTTGAGCACACTTCCAGGCCACTACCAAGACACAGGAACTTCTAAAAATTAACAGAGCTGTGGGTGATGCAGTAGTCAGTCATCCTATCCACAAGCAATTAAAATAGAGCTCGTCGTTTACTAATGGGGAGACTCATTCCTGGTATTTACAGCAGCAATAGCTTCATATTTTTATATCATGTTACATTGTGATTATAATGAAAATGCAGGCATGAAGATTTATTTTACCCTCAAATTACATTCTATCTGCTAGTATAAAGTATAATTCTGATCAATTTAAATTCCAACCATTTAAATAATTCACGCAATGACTGTAACTATGACTTCCAAACAGGTAACAAAACTCAAATGGATTCTAGGGCAGAAAAGAAACCCAAAAGCCTGCAGGTGAAAAAGCCCATAAGGCTAGCCACCTGTTTAGTGTTGTTAACAGGTGTATCAAACAGCAGGCCTTCCTCTGGGAAAGAAGACAAACTAAACACAGCCAAAACACACAAAGCAGCAGCAACAGGGACAGAATGGAACACAGCATCTGTTTACTGGGACTTATGCAGCAGCCAGAAATGAGAAATTGTAGAAAGATTTCTCTTCACTTTTGAGGAAAATGAGTGTTGCTTTTTCTTTTTTACTTCATTAACCTCTGCAACCTTCATTATCATTTAATTATTTACTTTTATTTTCACTGTCTGTGTATGTGTGCCTACAAACACACTAAAACCAGACAGAATGTATTTATTGATTTAAATGATCAGCTTTCATGGGCTTTGTTATAGGTTTACTAGAGTCCAGCTACAGTTTCTACCTTGCATCTTATATTTTTCCTCAAGGTGCAATTAGTTTAATGATTAATCAGTGAATAAATCTGAGTTATTTTTATTATTGGGCTCAGTTCTGATAGAGCTATAAGTACGGCTTGTTTACTGGACATTTAATCAACATGAATCTTGACAATATGCAACTCATGCTGTCAACTGACAGCATCCACTTATTAGTAATTTATCACTTGCAAAAGATTGAACTAATGGGATATTTTTATGTAAAACTGAGAGGAAAATTGGACAAATGCAACACATATGCCATACTAAATATATTCTATACCTCAGCAGAAACAATACTAAAATATCCTAGAGCTTGAAACATTTGTCCATGTTCTTTTTGCTCCAAGAAATTACTTCAGTGTGTCCAAGGTACTCTGTGACTGGGTTTGCGTACCCCATGCTTTCCAGGCATTACTTCTCTAATTAGTTTTCACTTATTTCCCGTTTTCTTCCGTATTTTGAAGACTCGTATTTTGTTAGAACTGTGCCTGGATTTTTGTTAGAATTCAGTGAATACTGACCTAGTACCATATCTACCTGTCAGGAACATACTGGTGTAAATTTAATAAATATGGTGAATGCAAATCCAATGAATGGAAATCCGGTGAATGGAAATCCAGTGAATGCAAAACCAATCTGAGCTTTTCTCATTTGTTCATTAACAGATCATTAAAGCAGGTGTTAGGTTCTGCTAGGTGCTTCTACTGCATCAAAACTAGCTGCTAACTGAGAACACAAGCAATATCGACAACTTTATATCCATTCATGATTACTATTCTCAAATACATTGTTGTTAGTATTCTTATCTAAAATGAAAGCAGTGATCAGGAGTGCTAAAAATGTTCTCAGAGAATGACAGTGCCATGGAAGACAGCTATGATCCTTGAGTTCTCTGCAGAAAGGAGCATAATGCACTAACACCACTTATGGGAATTGCTCTAGAATTAGCATGCTGAAGAAAATCCCATTTGCAGAAAGCCTTGGCTACATTGTCCATGTAAAGGTCTAGGTGACCAGAAGGTCTACTAGAACAGTCCCACAAGGCTGGTTAGCTCTTTTGTAATTCTACAGCAACAGGTTAAAAAAGAACACTAACCTATTATTTTGTCTAAGAAAAAGTATTTATATGTTTTTTTTGTTTAATGTTTAATTAATCATTTGAAAGCAGTATGTATGGAGTGAGTACTTTCATCAAATGGCTTCCTTTAAGCTTGTTTTCTGAATAATTAAACATGAAATAAATCAACAAGATACTTTTGTTAATACCATCAAGGATTTTCTTTTTTAAACCAAAGTATCTTGTCACTTTTAAGTATGCATCCAGTGTAAAGTTAAACCTAGTACTTTATGCTCACAACACTAGAGACAGTCCAGCTTCTAAACAAATGTAAGCCTGAAGAATTAACTAATTCGGTCTCAAAACAGGTGCTAGAGAGACACCCAGTGGTACAAAACTGCGTGTGCACACATGCGCACAGAAATAACAGACATCACTATCGTGGCTTCGATGTCCAAGAAAGCGAGAGGCGACTGCAGGAGCAGCATTTCTCTTGATCAGTTTACAGGCTGCAACAGAACAATCAAATGCACAACAGAGTCCCTGCCTATTTTTATGCCATTTGTATCTTTATCTAGTAAGTATTTATTAGCTATTCCTATTGTTTTGAATCCCAAACTTTCATGCATACATGGAATAACGTATAAAGATTTTCAAACTCTATTAATTAAGTTTAGATTACCAGATTTAACTACAAACTTTTATTGTATATTTAACAGAAATTTGGAGGTGAGGTGTGGGGTGTTATGAGGTGTAAGGCAATGTTAAAGGTGTTTTTTCTTTAAAAAAAAGGAAAAGCATTCTCAAGACAAGTACAGATTTGAACACTTAGTTTCTTCAAATTTCAGAGAATTTCTTAGAATAAAACTTGGAATTTATTTTTCTAAACCTTCAGACACTGATTACAATGATAGAATCCTATACTAGACTTGTCGTACAATAATTGATACCTACATGCTACAATCACATTTGGTCCTTAAATCCCAGCCCTCAGATCACCTCACTGAATTAATATAAAGTAGTCTAAACCACATCTTATCCTGTTGTTTGGTTTACACTGATTTTTTTTTTTTTTATACATAAGGTTCATCAGTAAGTGGTATTTTAGGAACACACAAAATAAGGTGACTATGAAATTAAGTATTTAACAGCTTTTTAATGGCTTGTACTCATCCAAACCTTTTGCATTAAAGCCTGAAAAATGAATTGCTTAGCACTAGAATTACTATACTCTGAATTTCCTAATGTATGTGTTATCTTAGAATGACAAATAGCTATTTTTTTTTTCAAGTATTTACCCAATTTATTTATATTATACAACATATTCAATGTGGTCACCCTTTATTTTCTGCGTCGGCCCTACAGATTGTTGACCACAGTGATTAGGCAGTTGGAGAAGTCACTGACTTTTTGTACATGAATAACCAGAAACAGGAAATTTTGGTGCAACTTGAAGGGACAGAGCTTTGAGCTTGCTTCTTTCTGCTCGGGATACCATGAGAGATATGAATTAATTAAAATATTATCTTGGTAAGTCATACAGGAGATGTCCCTCCATAACAGACACTTTATTCAAGTTCTTTAAATCCTTTGATAGCTTTGGCCTGGTGTTGTGGAGCATTTCATATGAGCATGTCTGCATCTGTATGTCTTTGAAGGACTGAGACTTACCAAAAATTAATGATACATGTGACTGGTTTCTACCGTTAATACATTTGATTAACTTTCTGAGGTAAGTGAATTCAGCCTAAGTTGGGAAGCCAGCAAGAAAATCTGAAAAACATGACTTTTTAACAACTGTCATGAAAGACCATCAATGTAGACTAAATCAGCTTGGCAGCTCTGGTTATATATTAAAATTTAAGGGGATAAAGACCTATTTATTAAAAAGACACATAACGCTTAACAAGTAAAAAGGCTCACGTGTTAATGTCCTGTGGTGAAATCTGTCCCCTGTAATTTCCACATTGAGAAACTTGCCCTCACAGTCACTTCTGTTCTTGGAGAACAGGTGGTCATGGCCTAGAAAATATCACAATATATTGTACAATTGCAATTTCCAACCCTTCTCCACATACGAATGTCCACCTCTGTTTTTGACAAGTGTTGGGGAACTCTCATATTTTTCTCCTTTATATTATTAAATTTAGACCGTGTTGTTAGCATCTTCACATGCTTTGGACTCACCTACTCATTATCTTAGCATTTAAACGTCAACACCCAAAAGGATTTACAAAGTATACAAAGGCAGAAACCCTCCACTGAACTCTTGAAACTGACGCTTTGACCTGCACAGCAGTCTGCAGGTTCCACAGCTACTTTACTACATTGTTTAAAAAGATATAAGCAGTGGGTGCTACGTTTGCCTTCCTGTTCAGATAGCGTAACAGGTTTAGAGACTATAAAGGACGCTGTATTTTAAAAATGAGGAAAATAAACGTACTGGTGCGAACTGAGCGTACTCTGCCGGGATGCCCTGTGCTGCATAGGGTGGCCGACAGCACTCCAGCTGTACAGAAAGAGCAGATGGAAAACCAAATAACTGCCCTTAGAGAAGTGTTAAGGAGCACAAAGGGCCACAGGAGCAGTGCTTTCCCTCCAGGACGCGTATTTCGGAGTTTGGCTACAACGCGCTCCGCAGGGGCTCGCTGACGGGAGCTCGCTAAGGGCGGGAAGCGCGAGCCCCTCAGCGCCCCCCCCCGAGCGTGGTCACGTGCCGCCGCCCCAGCGCCCTGCAGGCACCGCCTTCCCGCCCCCTGCGTGACCCCGCCCCCGGCCCCACCCGCCCAGCGCTCATTGGCTCGGCAGCGGGAGGGGCGTGGCGTGCCCGCCCTCGGTCGACCCCGCGCCATCTGCGCATGCGCTGCCTCCCCTCGCCGCGTCCTCCCGCCTTCCCCCGGTGGCCGCCAATGGCGGGTTGGCAGCGAGCCTCTCCCCGCCCCTCCCGCCGTGTCCCGGAAGCGGAAGCGGGCCGGCTGCCCTCCTGCCGCCATCTTGCGGCGGCAGAGGCGGGGGGCGGGGGCGGAAGGCAGGGCCCGGCGCGGCCGCCGGTGAGTAGCGGGGCCGGGGGCGGGGAGCGGCGACACGGGCAGGGCACGGGCAGGGGACGGCACGGGCAGCCCCGGGGGCAGCCCCAGCGACACCCCCAGGCCCGGTCCTGGGGCCCCCGGGCCCGCTCCGCCCTCCCAGCGGCCGTTGCCGCACCCCGCGCCGGGCCGCTCCCGGGCCGCTCCCGGGCCCGCTCTGCCCCTCCCCGCGCCGCTCGTCTCCTGCGATTTATTTTCTTTGTTCTCCCCTGGGGGTTTTATTCGGTGCCGTTGTTCGGCTGCTTTGGTTACGGCGGTGTCGTGCCGGGGGTGGCTGCCCGGTGCCCGTTCCTCGGCCAGCTCCGTGCCCGTCGCTTCTGGGCAAGGCGGCTTCCCTCACGAGATGAGGGAACTCGGGCCAGCTGCAGAGCGGCTTTTCCCCGGTACCTTCATCCGTACGTTAAGGAAGCCTGTGCTCGCGGTGTGACGTTGCAGCAGCTGAGTTAAATGACTTCTGGCCCCAGGTCATGGCATTTTTGACAACTCCAGGGTGCAATGACATTTGTAATGGTATTGCTATAATAGCTGTGGTTAAAAACACATAGCAGTTGGAGAGCTTGTGTCCACCCTCTTGGAATTTTTCAGCAGAGAGATGCTTTTTGACACAATTTAGTTTGGGTACGATTCTGCTTTCTGCTTGTAGCAAGCTATTCATTTGTTTCTTTTGTTAATTTCTGTGTGTCCTTCTGATCCTTGGCATTACTGGTCTGGCTGGAGGGTTGGCACCACTCCTTATGCTGAACAGTGAAGTTCTGTGTCATGTTCTGAGAGAGGAATTGCTGTTGCTTGGGTTTAATTGTGCCCCCATACCACCGAGATCTGGCTTGGGTCCTTAACTGTAAACCAGCTCCGATGCCAAAGATCGCTTTTCTTGATTCTTGTTTTATTACAGGCCTTCTTTAAGTAAATATTGTAAGGCGGTGAGAAATAGTAAGTGAAATTCTTCAGCTCTGTCATGTGGTGCTTTACTCTGTGCTGCTGAAACTGAGCCAGCGAGGGCTCTTCTGGGACACAGCACTAGCTGCTTGTGCTCCTTGGGCTGCTGGGGAAGAAATGCATGCAGGATACATGGGCACGTGTAATCCAATGTATGACAACTTTTTACACCAAGCAAAGTGTCTACTCCATCGGGAAGCCATGCGTAGACTCATGTACGCGATCTGTCAGTGGGTCTATGTAGGTTAACAGGTTTGCAGGATGGGCATGTCAGGTCTGCTGTTAGCACAGATTTGGGGTGTACATAGCTGTAAAATGACCAGTGGGAATATGAGAGGTTTGGCATCTTTAGAGAATTGTTGTCTGATCAATTGATTGGATGTTTTTTGTTATGCCCTTATATTCCTGGACATTTCAAACCCACCCCAAATCAAGCACAAAGTGCTGCTCAGCTCATAGTGCTGAGTAATTTCTTTCCTCTGCAGTGCAGGGGATGGGGAGCGTAATAATTGCTGCCTTTTTGCCTGTGATGAAAACGTCCATATCTGTTCTGTATGAGTTTCTATTTGATTTTTTTTTTCCTTAGTAATGTTTCACAGATCTGTGTGGTCACGTGAGGCTCTTGAGGTGCTGACACAGGAGCAAAAGTACTCCGGCTATCCCAGAGCTGTAGTCCCACCCACAGAAGGGGACTCCAGGAAGTAATGTCATGGATTACTTCTGATGATGTGGCAAAAATGATTCTGTTTAAAATCCAGTTTATTTTGCTTGGTTTATGTATTCCAGTGAATGATGAAGCTTTGTTGAGCTTAACAGAAGTGAAAAGTAAAGATTGGTAGCAGAAGTGCATACTTAAAAATAATTCCCTAAGTAACTTTATTTTTTTAACCCAAATCCAGAATCCTGCCCCTGTTGGTTTTTTTTTATGATTACGGTTGTACTTATGCATAAAACTTTTCTGCGACTGCTAAGCTGCCCGTGTTCTTTAGATAAACTTGTGTTTTGATGATGTAGGTGTTTATGGTAACGGTTTGTGTCTCTAACCACTGGTGTGCGGTTCTGAAATTAAAAAATTTTGTTGTCTAGTTACCCTGTATTTGAAATTCCCAAGCAGCTTTTAACAAATATGTATTTATTTTGGTTTTGTTCTTTGCCTTTAGACTCTGAGGTGACAGGAGGGTGGTGCTGCAGTACATATCTCAATGCTTAGATGTTAGAACTCAGCTCCTGCCTTACCAAGGTGAAGATGTCTAACGAGGCTCATTCCTGCATTTCTGTATGGACTTTTTTCCCCTCCCTAAAATGGATCGGATCCTCTCTGGCCTTTGTAAAAATGCCCTTTTCTTTACTTTCTTGACAATTGCTTCTGGAAATGAATTTCTTTTGGAGTAAATGCCCTCTCTGTAAGAATACTTCAGTAAAAATAATTTTTCAAACAGGGTTATACAAAAGAATGTCATATATAATTGTTGGTTCGGATAATGTGCTGTGAAGTTTGAGCTTAGATAACATTTAAAACAAAAATCTGTGTGTTGTGTTTTATTTCTACAGCAACCATGTCAGAAGGGGACAGTATTGGTGAGTCTGTTCATGGAAAGCCTTCTGTGGTCTATAGATTTTTCACAAGACTTGGACAGGTTGGTTTTCTGTAGGATTTCTGTGACTACATCAGGAGAAGGTCTCAATGCAACTTCTTAACCGCATTACTTTTTGGATCAATTGTTGAAATGCTAAAATTTGTACAGAAGGAAAAAACATTTTGAAATATTTTAGAAATAGACAACAGATATTACGATATGTAGCTTAATGGAATACTTAATGGGGGGGTTGGGGCGACAATGCACAGCGATAATACGTTGCTGTCATCAAAAATGAGGAGTTACCTTAGATTCCCTGCCAGAATGGTCTTAAGGAAAGTAAACTTAAGGAAAATAAACAATGAAATACTGAGTATCTATGTCTTTTTATGATATCCTAATTCCTATGACGCTTGGGATTTGTTTTTTTTTGTTGTCTTGTGTGTTTTTTTTTTTTAGCTTTTGTGAAAATAGCAAACTTGTATTTTCAAATGCTTATAGGCATGTTTATAATAAAGAAGAATGATGTTTCATGTTTTTCTCCTTCCCAAAGTGTCTTTACAAATGCTTGCTATTTCTACTGCTACCCTGTAATGTACATTATTCATTGTGCGTGACGTATTTTACTGATGTGCACTTTGTATTTTTTCCTAGATCTACCAATCGTGGTTAGACAAGTCTACTCCATATACTGCAGTGCGATGGATTGTAACTTTGGGTCTGAGTTTTATCTACATGATTAGAGTTTATTTACTACAGGTAGGAAAACTGGATTCACTGCTCAGATAGTAGTAGGTATCATTACTGTTCTATTTATTGTGTTAACAGTATTTTTGAAGTATGCTACTTTGGAATTACCGTATCATTAAAACACACTAAATAAGATAGTCTGAAGTGACACTGTGTCTTGTTGGTGTTAAACTTGCAGCCTCAGACTGAAAAATTTGAGAGTGCTTAAGAATTTATTTGATGGTAGCAGAAGGTGGAAACACTCCAGTAATTCTGATGAAATTACATAATAAAATTCTGAAAACTCTTTTGCAATTAAGTTTTTATTTTTAAAGCTGTGTAGCTAGTTCAGGAGCCAGTGGTTACTTTCTGTCATGCAAACCATAAAGAACTGTTTTTTTGGCACTTCTGTCACTGCAGGCCATCAGCAGACTAATTCTCCGCTAATCAGATGTCTCCATTTCATGCCAATCTCCAATTGAGTTAAGAGCTTGACAATTATTGTTCCTGAAAACTGGAGATTACAAATTGAATGTGAAAACCATACAGATGGTAGTTAATAGGAACATTTAAGTGATGGAAGCTTGCAAAGATTATTTTAAAGATTGTTGCTTTTATGCTGTTTATACTTTTATGCTGCTTTTATGATATCTAAGTCTTGAACGTAGAAACCAGATGCTTGAGAAAAGTTTTAATTAAATCCATTAATACGTCAGAGACTTGCACTACTCATATTTTAAGGCTTGTAGTAATTACTGTTTTAGGTTTACTGTAATAAAACTTAGAAATTGTTTAGCTTACAAAGGGTGATAGATTTTTCATCTTTGCTTATTTGTATTCCAGCAAGTTTAATTAATATTTAAGTAGCTTTAAATGAAAACTATTACATATGTTAGCTGTCAGCACACAAATATCAGAAAACATCTTAATTGAAAGAAAGGCCAAGAACTCTTACTGGGTAGATTCATAAAGGTGATTTCATCTGTTTCTAGAGTCTGAACGTTTATTTTATGCAATGAGAATATTGTCTTTTTTAGACAAATACGGAAAACTTTTCATGTGAATGTGAGGGTATAGAAAAGTGCTTCTTTGGAAAGAGGAAAAAAAAAACATTGTTTCATCTTGAAAAATCAGTATCTGAAAGTAGTTTTCAGGAATTCTTTAATCTTAGATCTTTTTTTTTCTCTTTTCTTCAGGGTTGGTACATTGTGACATATGCCTTGGGAATCTACCATCTAAATCTCTTCATAGCTTTCTTGTCGCCAAAGGTAGACCCATCTTTAATGGAAGATTCAGGTACGATGAACAGTTCATTCCACAATAATTCTGATCTTAGTTAAGCTGCCAGCTCATTTTATCTGATGGAGTAATGTTAAGTGTGTGCAATTCCAGCCTGACCATTGTATTTTTGAACTTACAAAAACTATGCTATTTGATATTAGGAGTTGTTACAAACTTTGTCTTTAAAAAGTTTTTCTCTTTGGGGGTTGAACATGTTCCATATTGTGTAAGTGTTCTGTATTTATACAGAAGTTTTATGATGCTTAAATTCTCCTTGTAATGACTCACATGACCTGGCAGTGATTTTAGTTCTCTTTCTCTAATGGGAAATGAACCCTGTTATATTAACACAGACGCTGCAGTTGGATCTTTGTGTATAGTGAAAGTTGTTTTTTTAAACATTAAAAAAAGTCTGTGAGGGAGGCTGATTTTTGTTGTGCTTTTTTTCATTTTTATGTTTTCTTCAGATGATGGTCCTTCCTTACCTACAAGGCAAAATGAAGAATTTCGGCCTTTCATTAGAAGGCTCCCAGAGTTTAAATTCTGGTGAGTGGATCTATCTGTGTAAACTTTGTTTCTGAAATGTTTGAATATCTGCATCAAATTAGTGGTGACTGGGGTTGAAGGATTAATTATTAATGTTATTTTTAAGGCACTCTGCCACTAAAGGCATCCTGGTTGCTATGGCATGTACGTTCTTTGAGGCTTTCAACGTTCCAGTTTTTTGGCCAATCCTTGTGATGTACTTCATTATGCTGTTTTGTATCACTATGAAGAGGCAAATCAAGGTAACCTGCCAAGAACAGACAGTAGCACGTGATGTCAAAATGTATAGTATTGTGTCAAACTATCCATCCATCCACTTAAGCACATTATAATTATTACACGTGTATATTTATTTCATTTGAACACTTAATGCTTGAGCATTAGTTGTATATTTGCAACTTTGAGCAAATATGGATAGCAAGAAACAAAAATACTTGGAAAAAGCTTCATATACTACATATACAACGTTTGATACTTACTTTCAAATAGTTCTGATCTTAAATTTCAGTCTGTTTTTTATACAGGTTGTCTCAAAATTTCTGATTCACATCCTTTTTTCAGTTACCTATGGCTGCTTTAAATAAAGAAGTCTTTTAGAGTCTCTGGTGCATTAAAAGGGGAGTTCTGAAAAATCTGCCCAAGCCAAGTGGATGGAGAGAAGGGGAAGAAAAACATAGGCAAATCATTCAGACACATTTTTAAAGAAACTACTTAAAAATTGTTTTCAAAATTTTGATTTTAAAAGGAGAAGCATTTTTTCCAGACATGCAGGATTTTGGCTAAGTACCAGTTCTCAAAGTTATAAAGTGAAATGTAGGAAATTAATGTCTTTATATTATATCATGTCTTCTGCAATCCCCTAACCAGTAAACTTCACTGTACTCTATATGTCATTGGCTAGAACCAAATTTTATATTTAGAAGGCTGAGCCCATAGCATTATTTAAATATAAACTGGTTTATGATTCACTTTTACAATACTGAAGAACTGTTTTCGTAGAGGACTTCGTAATTAACTTTGTGTGTTATGAAACATGTTTGTAAACATTATCTAAGTTTCTTGCCCCTAAAAATTGTTTTTTCTTTACAGCATATGATAAAGTACAGATATATACCCTTCACACATGGCAAGAGGAAATACAAAGGGAAAGAAGATGTGGGAAAGACCTTTGCTAGCTAGAAGATGCAATCAACCTGTTGACCAATTCTACTTATAACTAAAGGAACGATTTTGAGCCATTGTAACAATGCCTTTTTTCTTCATAAAATGATTGAGTGGTGACAAAGCAGTTGAAGTTTCATTTTAAGAGGATCTTGCTATTTTTATCTGAAATATCAGTTTCTTGAAGAAACTGGCATTCTAACCAAATTGCATTGAGTTTGTCTTTTGTAAGAAGTTGGAGAAACTTTGGATAATCCCATGGATTTGGGATGACGGATTTCTTTCAGGATCCATTGCACTGGAGATTAATGGCTTTGAGTTGGATATTTTTACGTAGTTTTCCTCACTGTCACCCTGAAGTGCTGTGCACGTATGTGGAGGAAGAAAAAGTCAGGTGGCACGCACACATGATGCTGTTTTCTGCTTCATGGCCATGTGCTATTTTCATACAAAAATTCAATAGACCTAAGTAGATGCAGAATTTAAGCCAGTTTGCTAAATGCATGGTATTACTGAGTCATAAATATAAATAGGAGTAAGAAATCTACAAAATCATGGGTTTTTCAGTAGGGGAAAAAAAATGTATAGCTTCTAAAGTAACTCATTTCTGTTAGGTTTTAATGCCAGTTTCACCATTGCATCTCCTAGCAGATGCTAAAATTGGGCTCTTTCATGATGACTCAAAACTTTGTTCAAGATCTATGACCGTTTCCTTTGAGGACCTGGAGTTATAAATATATATATATATATCTTAATTGTTATTAGTTGAAATTTCTTTCATACCCAACGGTTGCTTGATTAGCATAAGCTGACTTCATGCAGCCCCTTCAGAATATACCCAAACTGGCCGTAGGAGACAACTTTATGGGTTTTAACAAAGGTTTTCATTTTCTATGGGGAAAAAAATCAGAGATAAATGACCTGCATGTAAACTTTTTCATGTGATACAATTGCAGTTTTATTAAGTGACTTTTTAATTCCAAAATTTATTAAAAGACAGTGTCCCCCTTTGCTTGTTCTCTATTATCTTTATATATTTATATGTATAGATAGATGACAGTATTTATGGATTCTTTTCAATAGTGGTTACCCTCAGCATTTATCTTCATGTGATGCCTATTACAGCTTTTCAGGGAATATTCGCTGGCAGAAAGTAGAAAAAGATTAGCGCTGAATATTCTGAATGGAGAATAGTCACAATTTCAATAGATGCCTAATTGGCAAATGTATGTAAGGAACCCTTTTATCTGATTTTGTCAAATGAAGTCATTATGGAGTTGTGGAATTCAGTCTTTGGTAAACCTGGAAAAGTTAAAGGTAGTTTAAGTTGATATTGGCCTGTTGTTTTTCGTTTGTTTATGTGTATGTAATGTAAAACTTCAAGTTACAGTAACACTGTATCCAGAAATGGCCTAAACAAAAGTACCAGTCATGGATTTTTGCAGTTCATTGCCTAAAAACCTGAAAGTCTTGATTTGGAGGAGCTATCTTCAGGTTTCCTGGAGTCTCTGAATATGAGGGCAAATCAGGGAGAAAAGAATGGTGTTTGTTGGTTTTTTGTTTTTTTTTTTTATTTTAATTTATTAATGTTAAAATTAGTAACTGGGAGGATTCCTGTTAAACAGTGGGGTACTAAAGACAGTCATTGCAAATTAGAAATTTCTACCTCCACTTAATTTCTAACTTAAGTGACAGCATAAAGAACGAATGCCTTCTCACTCTTAGGTAACAGCTGTTCTTCCTTTGTGGGATTAGCACTTTTCAAACATGTATTGTAGATGACACTGAGACAACTGTATAGTTCCCTAGCTGAATCTCAGCTTGCAAAGGTCAGACAAGTTTGATGGCATTTTGTTAAACTGCTCTATTTTTACCACTTATAAGTGATAAAAATAAGTTACCCTTATAGAACACATGAAAAACTTGACAACTTCCCAGCTCCTTCTCAGTCATCAATTGCTTCCTACTTGTTTCTATGTGCAATTAATTATCTTTCTTCGCTGTTTCCCTTTGTAAGGAGATGACTGTAAAGTAGTCATTTCCTTAGCTGGTCACGTTTTGAGTCACATGGACCATTTTTCTTCTACTCTTGTCTTTACAGTTTTGAGCAGGTGGGGCATGCTTGGCAGTTTTTTGGTGTAAGAAAGGGATGGTATTGAGACTCTGAAAACCAGCTTTTGTGAAGTAATGCTGAAATGTTGGCATTATTTTTTACTGGCAACTCTTTTCATTCCACATACAGATACAATGAAACGTTCAACTAACTTTATTGGAGGATTTATAACACTTGAAGATTAATTATTAACTAGCTAACCAGGATTGCTATGGTATGAATAACTATCTTAAAAGTGCTTACTGTAGCATGCCTCCTCCCCACCCCAAGTCCATATATAGTACTGTTTGTGAAAGACTTGCTGAAACAAACTCATGATCCACAGAGGGGATTGTTTGGATTTCCCTCTCCATTTGTATTTAAGAAATACAAATAACTTAACCTTGCATATTTTCAATCATAAAATGAGAAGGTGCATTAACAATTATCTATTTTTTTTTCTCTGCTGCTCTACCTGTATAACTGAACTAGTAATAACTTAAGGGAATGAACATTGATGAAGTGATGCTGCTGAAACCCTCCTCGTTTATACTGCAACATACTGGCTTGGCCTAATTAACCCCCTCTTCCCATACAGAGGGGTAGGGGGGCTTTTGGCTGACGTCAGCTTCTTTCCTGTGTTAGGCTGTAGAAAATGCCACACAGACAAAACTTAAGCTGTGTTATAAAATTAATGTGTTATAGTTGAGCAGTTTGCTATTAGTATGCATACTAGGGCTTTTTGGAACAACACTTCTTACCTTGCTATAGACTAAATGGAATACTTGATGAAAAGCCTTGATATCAATAGTGGTAGGAGAGTGTTGAGTTTGGATGCTCCACGTTAATTCAACAGTGTGCAGAATTATCTGTCCTCTGCATTACTTTGGCCTTGCATCTGTTGCTTGTGTTGATCTGCAGTTAAACTAAGGATCTGTGTACAGCTTGTTTTTCCTCTGAAGTCTACAGCAAAGAGCAAGGCTATTGTAATGCAACAAGAGAAAGGGAGTCTTAGATACACTAGAATTTTACTGATGCCTTAAGCATGTTATAAAAAGTTAGAAAACTTGTTATTCAGACTTACATTTAGAGATTGAGATGACTGAAAGTTTTCATTATCCAAAGTGAAGAATGGTATTACATTTGTGGTAGGCACTTTTTAGACATATTTTTAATATGGTCAGAACCATGTTGCAAGAAACAGGAGTAGAGGCAGAAATAGATTTATTTTGTAAAACAGGAATGAAGTGCTACCTTGTACAGGCAGTTACCGGTTTTACAATAAAGCCTTGTTCTTGGACTAATTCAAGCCGTATGACCGCTTTATAAAGGGTATGAGAGTGAAGACGCTTGTCATGAAACAAATTTTTTCTTTACATTTGGTAGTGACGTAGGTAGATCAGTTTCTGAGGATGAAACTTATCTCTGCATAGTGGACATTCTGTCTACAAAAAAAAAAGATTCGAATTAAATTGCTGTATTTAAAAGATAAAAATAAAAAAAATCCAAATGCTGACTGCTTCTAGAAAATAGTGACCTGCTGTAATTAAAACAGTTTTTTTTTTTAATCCAGTTTGTGATACAAGCTTAACCATGTAAAGTCTTGTAAGATAGCATAACTTAAAGAGCAATTTGAGGTGCTGTTTAAAATACACCCTTAAGCCTGTGGCTATTGTACACAGCATTCAACATCTTACCTTGAAGTAATTTCATAACCTTAGAGAAAAACCTTTTGGATTTTCACCTACGAGGAAGCCTGTCTAGCAAAATCCCTCAAATAGTCACTGTGGTTTTACTCACATACTCTGTTTCCCTTGAATATTAAGTAATGCTGCCATATATTATTTTCAGGTGTAGGTTTTCTTCCTTTCTTTGTACTTAAAATAATTCCCCTTATTTTTATTTGCAGCTGAGCTAGTAGACTGCTAGTTTCTTTATTGCCATTCTTCACCCAAAATATCTATACTACATCATACATGTTTTTACTCAAGGTGTATTACACTCCAGTCTCATTGCAAAGTTTGTTTGTTACAGAATTTCAGGCAGTCTTTCTCGGTTGTATTGTCCTGAGTCTTCTGTGCTTTTACTTGCTATTTAACAGGCATTTCCTGAAGCAGTAAGTCAAAACAAACTGGATGGATTCTCAACAATTCTTCTGGTGTCTTTTTTTTTTAATTCTAGGAAGAAATACTACTACTACTTTTAGTTAATTTTGCTATTTGTGAAGAGAAAATGGCACGGCCACTATAAGGAAACATTCATATATGACAGAAGTAGTATTAAAGTATTGAAGATATTAACTGTGTGTTAAAAACTATTCTTAGCTCTCTAAAATATCTTAAATTTGTGTATCTTTGCTTGGTGAATCCAGTAGGAGAGTCAAAGGATTTCATGTTGGCACATCTGAAAAGACTAAAACTTGTAAGTGTTGTCAACGTTAAGAAAAGTGACTATACCTGAAACAAACAAAAAAATGCTGTACCATAGACTTTGAACTACTCTGGGTAAATTAGTTACCAAGTCTTTAGGGCAAAGAATAATGTAAAGATGCCATTATAGTGAAAGGATGCTTTCAAGTATGAAAGGCCACTCTGTAATGGATTTTTAATACTTCTACCTACAGCTATGTGCATCTGGGACACGTTTAGAATAGGCAACAATGCATAAAATAAGTCCTCTAACAGATTTGGCTCTTCTGCCACCTAGTACTCATACTGAAAACACAGCTGAAATTGTCAGTAGCCTTCTGCGTACTTCTATACTCAAACTTTAAAGCCTGGACTTCAGTTTCCACAACTTAATGCAGGGCAATTTTGAATGCTAACTTGTGAAGTTCTTCATTAATTTTCCAGTTAGAGTTGTTATGGGAAGTGAATACTGGTCTTCATTCTAGATTACAAGAACAACTTTAAGGTGCGCAGTCCTCTAAGGGACCAAATAAGATTGAGTAAAGCCACAATGCAAAAGGATAATTACCTAAATTATTCTAATCTTTCCCTGCAACTAGATGAAACCATTTCTACCACGGCTTCTGGCAGCACTCAGGCCAGACTGATGAACACCAGCTAGGTCTTTACAAACAAATTTGAATAGACTCTGGATGTTTCCTGATGTGCATCAGGATGTTGTTTGTTTACAGGCTGCGTTCTATTTTGTTTTAAATAATCTGTCTATCGTAGAACTTAAGAGCTTGTGTAAGTATAATCTTGGTGGATTTACATACAGGTCTTTTACAGTGATACTTCGACTATCGTGATTTTAGTGTCAAGATCCATCTGGGATCCTTGGGAAGTACTCTGACAAGTAGTTTAGCTGTGGTAGAATTGGACAAATACTAGTATCAGTGTCAGAAAAATTATGTAGATTATACACTTCTAAAACAGCCACAGTGATACATCAGAGTTATGGCACAGGCATAACCTGTGAGGCAAAGCTTTTATTTTTAAGTGGTAGTTATCTTTCTCTATTGAACAGTATTTATTCAGAAAATAAATAGATAACCCCTTATTCCAAGATATCTATAAAATCCTTAATGGATGAAAATTGTTTTATTTCACTAATCAGAGCAAAACCCATGTCTTTTCATGTGTAAGAGCTAGCTCAGTTCAGTTGTAGCTTACTTCATTTTACTGGAAATTAGAACACTACCAGCTTTGTTGTTTTTGCAGCCAGAATTATAACCAAGATATATATATTTCAGATAAAGGAATTACATTTGTGTCTGACTTGCGTAGTTAGTCCAATTGCATTTCAGTGGCTGGATCAGAAAAGTGTTTACCTTATTTACCTAATCTATGTGACCCATAGTCATCCTAATTTAATAAAATATATGGGTCCTGGTAAAGCCTTGTGTGGGGATTTTGAGTGCCTTAGTGAGGGAAAAGGTATTACTTCAATAACCAGCCTGACAGGTATTTTCAAGTAGAAATTTCATAATATTTACCCCTTCCAGCCTCTATCTGTCCCTCTGTACTTACTCTGGTGTTACACCATTCTGTGATGCATTCCCAGCAGAACAGGTGGCCGCAAGGTGTGGCTGTCGTGTGTCTCCGTTCTTCCAAACACAAAGTGCAGCGGGAGTGGCGCCCAGTAGCTTTTTCCTTGGTCATATTTCTAATTAACACAGGTAGGTATTAATTTTGTGTAGCCTCTTTGCAAGATAAAATTGTTAACACAGAATCCTAAAGCAACCCCCACCTTTGAGTATTAACCCTTTTTGTGAAAGTCTTATACATAAAAGCAAAGCATGAAACGGAATGCTTAGAACAATCAGGTAACTGTCGGATGTTACATTACATCAGGTTCTAACTCAAATTATGTAATTATTCCAAATGTAAAAAATACTGAAAACTGTAAAAATTTACTCATTTGTAAAAAAAAAAAAAAAAAAAAAAAAAAATTCCAGTGCTCTCCCTGTTCATGAAAGCTACATTTCCAACAATTGCTTGTACTGCTTTTCTAGTAAGCAAAGATCATCATACTTCTGAAGGGCCAGGCTGCGGTGTAGTTTCCATTCCTGCCTCGCTCTCTGCTTTTGTTTGAAGCTGTACATCTGAACACTGATTGTCAGAAGAAGATGAAAGAGTGAAATTATTCCAAGAAACTTGTAACTTGATCGAATACTCTGATCTTCTGCTTGCACTCCTCCAAAACGCAGCTGCATAATGCACACAAAGAGGGATGTTTAGTTACTGAAGTTCTATGAAGCTATGCCTCTCCCTCCTCCATATCAATAAATTATTGATTTGGGATTTTAATTTCTGTCCAAAAAAAATGACATGTTTCTAGGAGTGATTGAACTGTCAGTCAGCTCTTTCTTTGTATGTCTAATGTGTCTTGGATGCATCTCCTTCAGTTAGGCTACACTTAACTGCTGTTTGTCCAAGGATCATTTGTCTTGGGTTGTCTGTTTGTCCATTTAAAGCTATTGCTTTAATCAGATTGCTGTTAGCTAGCTCTGAGCAAACAGTCAAACACTAAATTTCCACGGTGACGGGATATTTCGATCAGGGAATTATTGAGGAGTCTTGTGTCTACATGCTTCTGGGCCAGTGGCTGGGGATGCCTTTCAGAAAGACACTCCTTGAAAAAAATGTGAAATTAAGCTCATCGTACAGACATACATTATCTAAATGTGTACTTATTTTTGTTCAAAACTATTAATTATTTCCTGTGGATTTATTAAGCTGCTTTTTGTCTATCTGTAGAAGACAGGCTGGATTAGACAGTATTCTAAGGTTATACGGGGTATTAACTTGTAACAGTGCATTCAAGTTCATTAGTCATGACCTTTTATCTGGAAGGAATAACCCTTCTGTAAGCTATTAAAAAATTCCCTGTTACCCAGTCTGCACTGCTCATATCATAATCAGCTATAGCCAAGTTCTGTATCCCTTTTACACATGCTGCATCCCAAAAGAAGCCAAAATACTGCAGTGGATATCATCTTCAAACAATAAATAGATCCACTTACGTATCTGATTCCTGCAATTCTTTTAGATAGGTGATAAAAAGTGCCATGGATGTAGAATACTGCCAGATGTAGTCGATGAAGCAAAGGAATGAATTGCTTAAGAACATACACAATTTGTAAGGCTGTTTTCTTCTGCTGTTCTGTAAGCTCCCTGACTTGTCTCTGTATCCAGTTTCGTATTAAGGTCCTGCTGGAGAAGCCAAGCGCTGGGTTGCTCTGCAGGGTTCTTGCCCCATCAGCTTCAAGCTGCAGCTCGTGTTCCAGATGCAGCAATCCCTTTTCTAAATAATAGGGTACTACAGTATGAAGAGAAATGAAGGCGGCTCGTCGAAGAAAAGAAGGAACCCTTTTCTTGGTTGAGTCAACTTGGACGATGTTAACATATTCTTCACCCAGAGTTTGGTAACCTAAATAACACGTGTAACAAAACAAGCAGGGTAAGACAGCAATCGTAATACCATTCTCTGCATGGTTGGGCAGTGCTGACAGGCTGCTCAGATCGGAACAGATACCAGGTTTTTGCATTTCAGAAGTAGCTGCATTTTTTGTGTTGAATGAGATGAGCGTGGTATTTACGTCAGCATTCGATATCTGCAGTAGTTTTAGGCTTAAACCAGGGTTACATTTTCACGATGTCATCCTCCCTTTTTTAAAAAGAGCACATAAATATCCAGCTTTATAAACTGTATTTGAACTCAACTTTCCGGCAATTCAGTGGTTAGTGGGTTTAACAGAAGGCATTTATAGAAAATCGACCAGAAAGTCCCACTAAAAAAAAATCACTGTCAAGCCATCTCACGCTATTTGATGGTCACCAAAACATAGCTCATACCCGGAGCAGAAAGCTCTTTTTTTACACAGAAGAAACGCTGGATTCTAAATAAAGTGCTGGGCACGTTACCTGACAAAGTGGTGAGGACGAAGTAGGCCACATCGGAAAGCAGCTCGATCTCTCTCCTCCACTCCAGCCACTTCTTAGCACCTAAGAGCAAAGCACCGTTACCCTTATTTTACAAACATTCGCGCTACGCCCAGTGCCTCTCACAGACCCCACCACACACAAGCGGTACGGAGCTGCGGCGGGGGGGGGGATCCCTCCCCGCGGCCCCGAGCCCGGCAGCGCCCCCCGGGCGGTACCCGCGAGGCTGTGCAGGGCAGAGCCGGCCGCGCTCCGCAGCCCGCTGCGGTACAGCTCGTCCTTCTGCCCGCTGCGCACCACCCGCGCCGGCCCGGCCTCGGCCACCGCCATAACGGCGAGGGCGGGAAGCTGAGGGGAAGGCGGGGACCGCGGCAGCCACCGCCCCCTGGCGGCTGCCCCGCCTCAGCCGGCGGCCGGTGCCCCCTCAGGGGTCGGTTTTCCTCCTCAGGGGTCGTGCTGGGGCTGGTTCTCCCCTCAGAGGCCGCCCTGGAAGCGGGTCCCACCTACAGGGGTCGGTCAGAGCCCCGCAGCCCTGCCGCCATCCTCTCTTCAGCCCACCGCCATTACAGGATGCTGCCTATCTGCTTCTTGCCGCCTGTTTGTTTCTATCAAAACGTTTTTATTTTTTTTTTCCCTTGGTGTCTTATTAATTGTAAACTCAAGTTTACAAAACGTGTAGGGAGAGGGAAAGCTGAGCGCTTCGGCGGTGGTAAGGGGTTTATTTGAGAACATCGCTGCCCGGGGTGGGTCCCAGCCGGCGTTTGCCAGAAGGGCTCGCGGGTGCTGGTGCCGCAGGTTGCTCCTTCTGGCTGTAAAATGATGCAAGGAGGGGAAATGTGAGGACATTTCCTTAAACACGGCGGCAGGGGGAGCGCCTGCATTAGGAACACCCGCAGCTTCCCTCAGTTCTCCCAGGCACCGTGCGCCTTCCTCTGAGGGCTCGGTGCAGCGCCATGACCCGAGCTGTGCCGAGGTAACAGGCCGGAAGCTGCTTAAAAATACGAACCTAAACCTCCTGGCTAACCTTTCGATCATTTTGTATAGAATTCTGGTTCGCTTCATACTCCCAGATGTTTCGATCTTGTTTCAAGCAAGGGCTGCGATTCCCTCAGTCTCACATATTTAGTAGTGCGATCGTCAAGAAAAATAAATGTGGGAAGATGCTTGTTAAAATTACAAGCCTTGGTAACCTCATCTTAAAAAATACTGGTTGCCACCTCAACATTGCATAGGCAGTGCAGCAAGTGCATCTAAATTACATCTAAATCTTCCTACTGTCTGCGGTAGGTTCTGTAGGTTCATATATTAAGATTTCCTCAAACAGTCGAGGTTAATCTCCTTTGAATCATGAGGGAATCTGAACATAAGAATTCTCAGAGGAGTTGGGAACAATCGGTGACATCTTGGTAGTGCTCCTAACTCAGCCTCAGGTGACACCTGAGATGTTGGCTCAAGTGCTTGGTAAAATTTCTCTTGTGCTCTGTATGAGATGTGTTTTATTAAGTCTACAGGGTAAATGTTTGTTGCTGTTTTACTGAAGTTGGTAAATACATTTCTGTTTTGTTTTTTAGGTCAAGAAACCAAAGAAAGCGTGAGAGGTGTGGTGATGTTATTTTATTTTATTTGTTTCTTTTACAAAGCTGCTGAAGACTGGCTAACGGGCACTTAATTATTAGACTGGAAACCATTTGTACAGCTGAAGATAAAGCTAGGATTCTGAAGGTCAGATTTTCTTCCCTTAAAAATGTTGTGGGTGAATATATTATTTCTTTTTAATATAGTTATTTTTAATATAGCTTTAAATAAACATCATAGTCAAAGATTATCCAAAAGCTGTAACAAAAATGGTGTAATGAACCATTACAGGATGGTGCAAGGTTATGTGACTGATTACAGGCTCTATTCCTATTTTGGGGGGAAATAGCAATTTTTGTCATGGACAACACAAATCAACCTTAATAATGCTTAAAAATTCAAATTGTCACCCATTTTAAATGATTTATGGTCATATCATTGCTTTTGTGTCTATTCAGTCTGTTCTTTGCAGTAAAGTTTTATGGAACCAATTTGTTAATTATTTACTGATTTTTCAATTCACACATTAACTATTTCTTATCATCATTTGCGGTTTAGGGCTGCCAAAACTCTGTTCCTGTAAATGTTAAAATGTGTTTAACTTCTCTGTGCGTCACTGCCCTTGACAAATTGAATGGATTTTATATTCCAGAAGTTCAGTTGATTTGTGCTGTGACAAGCTCCTGAGTGCTCTCAGGAAAAAGGAAACAGTTCACATCCACGTTACAGCCACTCAAATATGTTTTGGGGCAGTTAATTGTCATTGTAACATCATGAAGAAATGTACCTTTGTGTTTGCATGGTTTGCAAAGTGTGCGATATTCTCCAGAGTTACCTACAAGGTACCACTGACTTTCAGAATGTATATACAATATTAGGCTCTGAAATGTTGTGGAAAAAGCATTTCAAATACAGTTTCCTTTCTTTATGATGTAGTCTGTAGTAAGTTTAGATCTGAATGGAGGCCTCTGTTTTACACTGAGATTTTTTACTCCCTGTTTACATGACACAATTTGCTAAGCCTAGAATTTGGGTTAGTGCATATTGCACCAGTTCTAGGCAGTGGTATTATGCCAATATGCCAAGCATGTGTGGACACAACCCCAGACACTTCCCCAAAAAATTACTGTTGGGACTAAAAATACAGAACCAAAAGAAAGTAGTTTGTATGACCTGGGATTATTCCTTGTTCTGGGCCAAACCTGCTTCTCCCATAAAATTCATCCTCTGGCAAAACCAAAATCATGAGTTAGAAGATTCAGAGTGAAAAATGTTGCTGATCTGAATGCAGACTGCACAGGGGGTGTGCTTGTTGTATGGAAAATAAATGTGTAATGCCTTACCAGGAATGACAAACCAGCACTTTTTCCTAGCCCAATCCTAAGCAGCTAAGTACATAAAGCCGAAAAAACAAGCTAGCCATGCCTTAAGGACTCTAGGGCCTTTCAGACACTGCCTGCTGACCCTCTGACAGTCTCTCGAATATGCTCTGTCATAGGAATGGTTGCAGAGACTACCAGGCCCTGGGATCTTTTTACTGATGTGGTGGTTCAGCTGATACTGAAGAGAAATGGTGCAAGCAGCCTGGTGTTGCCATGGCCAGCTGTTCCCTCCTTCATGGTTACACAGTAACTATCTGCATTCTGGGTGACAGAGACCAGATGACCTCCAGAGGTCCCTGCCAACCTCAGCTGTGCTGTAATGCACAAGAAGAATCTGTTTCTTCCGTTTTGTGTTCTGATTGATGTCTGTGATTGTAGGAAACTGACATATCTCTTACAATTTATCTGCTGTTTTTTTTGCAAGATAGAAATTTCTGTGCAGATTTCATTTTTGTTGCATGCTTCTCTGCTGTTCCTTATAACAGACCTGATAAGGGAGCGACTTGCTTTACTGACATTAACACAAGGAAGTCCAAAATGTAAAACAAACTTGGTGCACAGTAATGATTAACTTGCCCTCCCACATGTTGCTTGTCTGTGCATTATTAAATATGGTTTTGCCTCTACAGACCTGTTAGTATAGAAGAGGTTTGGAGTGCAACTTTCAAACGGCAATAAGCAGATGTTTCAGCTTCCAACCTGAAGAACAGGTTCTGCAGATATAAAAGCAGCTAAGTGTCTGTTGGAGATTGTTACCACCCTCTGCCTTCTTTTGCCTCCTCCCACTTTGAACTTGTTACCCTGGAGCTGAACTGTTTGAATAAGGACTGTAAGAGCTGCTTTGTGATCAGTTAGCTGAGAGCCCTCAGCATGTAGACTGCAGGGGAGGAGCCTTCACCCTCAGATTTTGCAGTTCCCTCCTCTCTACTTTTTTTGTCATGCTTATGAAGGTTTGGATGTACTGTGTGAAGAAGCTGGGACAGATGGACTGCACTGTCCAAAAAGAAGAGGCAAAGGTTTGTGGGTTTTTCTGGTTTGTTTCATTTTAATTTGCTACTTTCTGTATCAGGAATAGTTCTTTCAATTCTTCTGCTCACTCTTAGAAGTTAGCTGCAAATTTTATAATATGCTATCACAGGAACATATATAGCTTTATGATTGCAACAGAGTTTGCTGCTTCTTTTGCTTTCCTCTATCTTAAGGGAAAGAGAGAATAGAAAGAACACGATGTCTAGTGCTTGTTTGATTTTGGTCATGCGCTCTCTTGTTCACAAAAATGCCTAGGACCTTAGAATGCTGTCCGCCCTAAATGTATGGGTTTTTCAGAGCTTGTAGGGATGAAAGGTATTGCACTTGTAATTGACAGTTTAGCCTTTTCTAACTGGCAACTACTCACTTCAACAGAAGAGACCAGGGCATTCATTCTGAAATGATAACTTGCGCTTTTACCAGTATACTGAGCCAAAAGTATAAGATAAGAGAAGTTTATTGTAAAATAAACTTTAGATATTTAAATAAAATACCGGTTAAAAGTAAGTAATATATCCTGTCTGATTCCATGACTGAGCAGTTGGTAATTCTTGACTTGGAAAGGCACACATGACCTTTCAAAAGGGTTTGGATTATTTTTGTAATTGATTTGGGCTATGGACGAGGAATTTTCAGTTCTTTTCTGGCATAAAAATGTGGGTTATGATTGCAGAGATATGGGCAATAATAAGGATGGCCAAACTGCTAGTGAAGTGCATGCTGTAAATGCCTCAGGCTCCAGAGTTTAGATGTAGATCTTAAGCATACCTGAAATCCTCAGGGCAAGAAGTTCTAGAAACCTGTTTTGTTTCATGGTAGAGGTAGGTTCCAATGCTAAATAATAAAATAAAAGGAGGGTAAGATTCCTAGCTTGCTTTGGAAAGCTTGGGTTAAGAAATAAATGCTGTCTTCAGAATGTAGCTCAAAGTGAAGTTGTCTATTGTTTAAAATAAAGTGGTCAAAGTTTTGTCTATTAAGAGATTTTCTGTTCTTACTGAGGGGGAAAAATGTTAGCTGGGGAGATTTTTTTTGCCTATTAAGATTAGGTACGAAGGAACTGTTCATTCCAAATGAAGGACGGAAGGGTTGTGAGGGGAGGTCAGCGACTGCTGATGAGATATGCTGGTTATCTAATTGCAGGCAAGATCATATGTATCCCAGTTATTGCATCCTCACCAAAACGGCATTGTAATACCCTCAGTACCAGCGTGTGAAGAGCAGATGAAGCTCCTCAGGAGGTGGACTACTGGTGTTAGATGGGTTGCTTCTGGGCACTGAGGGCTCTCAGTGTAGGCTGGAGACCATGAGCAGATGCAGGTAGATCTGACAAGACAGAGCAGTTAATAGTGGGCTTTTGTATTTCATTTCATAAGCAAAACTCCTGGAGATTCTC